GTTCGGTTTTGACATCTTTTTTTTTTTTTTTTCTGAACTGAAGTGGATTCTTTGCTAACCTAAAAGTTCCTCGTGTCTGAGAAAATGGCAATATGGCATATATATATAACATTGGCAAATGATAACATGGATGAATCATGGATGAAGAGCCAGTTCTAGCACCTGCTGGATTTTTTGAACACACTAAAGCTTTTTTTTCTTTTCTTTCTTTCTTATTTATTTATTTTTTTTACAGAAGTTAAACCCACCCCCTCCTTCAAGTGCTTGATGCTTCAATGAAAGGCTGTTTTGGGCAAAATCCTACTTGTGGCAATATGCTTGTAAGAAAAGGCTTTTTGATGCAAAGCAATGATGACAGCACATGTTCCCTTAGCAGTAACTATAGTTGACAAAAGAAGAATGATTTCAAGCACCACTTTCTTTTAAAGCTTTTAAAGCTTTCAGCTCTTCAAATGTAGTCAGAGTGACAAGAGCTACCCTGAACTCATTAGCACTGAGCTAACAATTATAGAAAAAGGTTGAAGACCTGAAACTGTGTAAACGTGTAACACAGTGTAGGTGATTCATTTTGTTAACTGTAATTAATTTCAAAATAGCATACGTGTAATCTGATCATGTTTCATAGCAACGTACAATCACTACATACATCTACAATGAAAAAGCCCTAAAGTTTGTGGAAAAACCTTTGACCGTGACGGCTCCTTGTGATCTGCTAAATATTGTTTTAGTAATGATGCATAGTTAAGATATGGATTTAAAATTACGTTAACAAATAAATTATCTAAAAAGATGATGAATCAATGTAAATGAGCACCGATTTCGAAAAAAAAAAAAAACAAACTACATTTATTTACAATTTGTTTTAAATCTAATGTCAAAAAATACAAATATAAGCAGCTTTAACATTAAAGATATTTCTCAGGTCACAAAATATAGCAACCCTTTTTTTTTATTTATTCATATACCAATTTACTAATTCTTCATCCATGTTTACACCTTTATAGTATTAACAGCTGCTGTCATTTTGCAAAACAATGTACCAGACAGTGTCTTGAGCTGCTGTTTTTCCAATAAGCTATTTTTACTGACAGTTATTTTCTTCTATTTTTACTGTGCTCTCTGTCCCTAGGCTTCGTTCTCAGCGTCACAATTTAGGTTTCGTTTATACTGTTATATCTTCGTTCTAATTTCTTCACCAAGTTTTTCTCTCCTATTTTCAAAGATTTGATGGAGATAAAGGTACAAAAGCCACAAGAAAAAACACAGATAAATGTGTTGTATAAAAAACCTTTTAACACATTTAGATGGAGACTTAATTATTAATTGCTTTCTCCTGACAGATTTACAGCAGCATCAAGTCAGTAAATGATACGTTCCATATCAAAGTATCAGTTATTTACTTGTTTCTTGCAAAAACTGGAGAAGCTTTGGAAAAAAAGCACTGATTGTGAAACTCCCTTAGTCAGACCCAATCCAGATTTCCAGGCATTAAAGCACACCTAACCACCAAACATTGATACAATTTCACAGTATCGCTGATGTACATTTTCTTGGAATCCTGCGCTGGTTTTACACCAGATGGCATGACACACACACACACGCACGCACGCACGCACACATCTTCCAAAAACATCCACTTTTCACTTGTTCCTAGAATATTTTCCCTGAGGAACATCAAGAGAGCTTCTGCATGAGGTGGCAGGCCTTTGTGTTGTTTTTGCCTTAAATGTTTCCCAAGCGTGGCATATTTTCCCAGCATCAATCAAGATCACAAACATTAACTGAGGCATGTTCAAATCTACAATGCTTTAGCAACTTTTTTCTGGGTACTTTAATGATTTCCTAGATGATTCATCAATGAACACAGAGTCATGGCTACATCTGGGGAGGTTCTCCACTCTTTCAAGGTTTCTCCTTTATTGATTATGGTTCTTGCTGTGGTTAAGCAGCTTTGTGACGCTTTCCAGAGTAATATGTCAAAAAAAGATTTTTCTTCATCCTTCTTTTTATGTTTTAATCTTGGCAAGAAGTGTTGCTTTTTGAGATGTTTTTGACCTACTTCATGTTGAATTAGAAGTTATATTTAGTTGATTGGAAATCAAGCCAAAAAAATTGGTTAATCACTGTTAATTAATAAATTACAAAGAGAGCAATTATTTTTTTGCCACATAGGGTCAGGATTGTTTGGATAGCTTTTTCCCCTTAATAAATGAAATCCTCATTTGAAAACTGCCTTTTGTATTTATTCTGTCTGACATATTTTGATGATCCAAAACTATCAATTTTGACCAGAAAAAGAATAAACAGAAGAAATCTAGAGGGGTTTGGCGGGGTATTTTTCCCACAGTGTTATGCTTGGCATATTTTCTAGTCTTTTGTTTTGCATCGCATCCAAGAAGAAATGTGCTGCTATGTCACTTCATCCATATGCACCTTCATCTATTGAATTAATGTAATTAAATTAAAATTTGGATTTTCTCATTTTTCACTGAGACACATGCAGTTACAATAATAATAATAAAAAAAATCTTCTTAATGCTTTCTTTTTTTCTTCTTCTCTTCAAATAATTACAGAGGAGGTTGTAATGACAAATTCAGTATGCATAATAAAAAATGAGGAGGAAATTATATAAAATTATTGCAAAGCTAAAACAGTAACAGCAACAGTTAACCTCAGAAAACATAGATAACTACCTGAAACAAGTGCAGGTTTTTTTTTTGTTTTTTTTTTACCCTCTGAATTCGATTTTCCTCATGCACAAGAAAAATGCTTAACCCCCAGTTGCTCATTATATTGTTCCCATGAGCCCACGTAAAAGGTACATATCCCACATAGGGCAAGTACATTCAGTTAACTTTGTCTGCATTAGTGTTAGCCAAGAGAGATGTGATTTCAAAGCCTTCATGTGGATGCACAGACGATTTGCATTGGTAATGATGAGCACACGGAACTGTGACAGACCATATGCAGCACTCCAGCTCTATTTCAGGGAGCCCTTCAGCCAAATCAACACCCACCATGTGCTCTGGGCTGCCCCCATTGCTGGAAACCAAGGCTCGGCAAGCAAGCGGCAGCATTTGTGAAATGCCACTGACAGCCAAGCTCCCTCTCCTGGGAGGGAAAGCTGATCAAAGTTCGGAGTGTGGTCGGAGAGAAGCAGCACTGAGGCATGTCATGCTCGGTCACGACAGCCGTGCACAGCTGGATGGGAGCAGTGTGTGCACCGCGAAGTCAGAAACTAGATCCATTCTTACTCCCACAACCTGCCGGCTGCAGAGATGGAGTAGCCTGATGAAGTGCTGTGTGGGGCGACAGCAGCGTATCCTGGAGAAGCAATCAATTGTGTAAATAATTCTCCATAGAGGGATCCAACCCCAATTTTAAACAGCTATGTGAATCTGAGCAATGCTTCCCAGGTTGAACCTCCATTCATCCATGTCACCCTTTGCCCTAGTTATAGATGAGTTATACCATGGAGCAGTTTGTTTTCACACATCATCCTCCTACACTGCATCTCCATTTAGTGTCTCTTACAAAAGTTTCAGAAGCCAGAGAATTATCAGTACAGTTTAACCCTTTGTGCTGATGGAACATAGAGGTTTCAGAGCTGAGGACTACAAAAAAAAAAACATAACTGCAATCCCTGTTAATACCTTTGATCCTGGGTACAATGTAGGCTGAACAAAGATGTTGAAAATAAATAAATAAGAGCTTTACAGAGTAACTTTGATTCGGTGTGTAATCCGTCCTAGAATAATGCTCGGAGCCATGCTGGTGCTGGTGACCTTGATTTTCTCTCTCTGCTGATATCTCAGTGGAAATTAAAATAACAATAATGTTTTCCTCAGGGCACGATTGGATGTATACTAAATCATTCCAGGATTTAGTAGTCGTCGTCCCCCCCACCCCACTTGTTTGTTCAAACAGAGCATGCAGAGATTATATCCGAGTAGGCACAAATATAGTATTTAATGACAGTATGAAGAGGAATAGTGCATAGCCAGGTCTAAACAATTCCAGCTTTGCCTGAGGAGCAGCACTAAATGAGATTTATCACAGCAATTCACACCTTACTCTGACAGAAAGAGCTACTTGATGCAGGTTATAGCTGTAAGGCTTAAGGAAAAAGAAAAAAAATCGAAAAATTAAGAAAACTCGAGTGTGTGGTCACTGCATGTGCATGTTTTGGCAATTGCATGTTCTCATCAGAAACCAGTGATGATCTTTTTCTTCTCTACTGATCAAAGGTGTTGTGCCATGACTTTTTAAATCACAAAATGTAGATGAAAAAGAATGGAAAGGCTAGACAAATCTAAAATTGTATCATTTTGAATGATGAAAAATATATCTATAAAAAATGAAATTCATTTTTTTAAATCATCTAGTTCTGATGATAATAGAAAAACATTGTAATTTGAGATGTTTTTCCTCTTTTTACTGATCAAAATTGAAAGTAATTATCTACTTTGATTTAGTAAAACTAAATCAATTTATTGTTGAAATTAATAAAATAAAATTACAAGGAAATAATAATAACAGAAAAAAAAGAAAAAGAAAAAAAACAAGAAGCTGTTATTTTTTCCCCCTAAAAAAAAAACAGGCACCAAATTCTAACTTGAATACTGTGAAAGTGGGTGGCATTGTTTTTTTTTCTCATGTATGGAGGGTGACATCACGGGATGAATATATAAAAAAAAAATGTGAGCTGAGGTGTAGAGGTTTTTCTTCGTCAGTGATTTCATGCTTTTATAATTTTAAATGTAAAAAAAGAAAATTAAATTACTACTGAACCACATCAGTTTAAGTCTCACAAAAAAAAAGAAAGTCAAGTAACAACTTGGTTATGTTTGGATTTCATAACCGGTTTCTGATGAAAACTTTAGCTACCAAAACAAGCAGGCACAAGGTATACAAGAGAAAGAGAAAGGAGGGAAACAGAGTAAAAGTTTAAAGTACAGATCAAATGAAGACAATTTTAATGATAAAAGGAATTTCTTACCAACTGTAAACTTCATGGAAAAGGCATCACAAATCAAAGATCAAAGCTGGAAAGGTGCTACTCTACTGGTAATAAAGTCCACCTATGCAGCATTTAACAAGACTGTAGTACCGGGTGTCTTAGACTGGGAAAATTCACCTGACTGGGAGGACTGGTGAAGACTGCTGGCAGAGATCGTGCAACGCTTTCTGCAAATATTTCCATTGTGTTCCCACCCACTCTGCTTCAATTCTCCTCCCTGCGTATGACACACCGCACTCGTGGACATCACAAAAAACTACAAGAAAATACAAAAAGTCAAAACAATTACCTCAGAAAGTCAGAAAACAGCCATAAGGACCGAGCCGTCATGCTCCCCTCATCTTCCTTTTCCTCTCTTCCTCCTCGCTCCAAGCGGAGACTCCCCTCTCGCTTCCTTTCTTTCGTGCGTTAACTACCCAACTTTACATTCATTCCCTTCACTTGCTTCAGGAAAAAAAAAAAAAAAAAATATATGCTATCCGCACGCACCCATTTTCCTCCAAGGAGTCATCAATTAAACTCTCCCTTCTTGCTTGTCATTCGCAAACAACTTAACAACACCATGATTGTATATTTCAACAATAAACTTCAACCGTCGCTTTACATTTTTTTAAGGTTTCCTGCAACCCAATAAGTTGTTTTTGCTGGGTGTGTTAAGCGAGTATCAATAATATCAAACAAAATTGCGGACGAAATAGGACTCCGTGCCGATACAATGTAGCGGTTCACCATTGGATGGAGATGACAACAAACTGCCACAAACCTCCTTTCTCACGGAAATACGTCACATTTCGAGGCAAGTGGATTATTTGGTACGCTTGGTTTGTCTCACCTTACTCGCTCAGAGGGGCGGTTAAAAGATTTTTCGCCATAAAATCACATTGTTTTCCTTATAGTACTTTGGATGCCTTGTTAGATGAATTGCCCACCAGAACAGATACGGCAGTGGGTCTACCATATTGTGTGTGGCAAGTTTGCCTTACAAGCTGCTGCAAGTTTGATTGACAATTTAGTTTTCCGTGCACTCATGATAGGCTAAACACTAAAACAATATGTGGTAAAAAAACAAAAAAACAAAAAAAACAAACAAAAAAAAAAAACAGAAAAACATTTTATTTTATTTTTTTTAGATAACAAGCCTTAAAAAGACTCTTGAAACTAAATTGAGTTGTACAGTTTGAATGTTTCAATAAAATTGTAACTCACAACATGAGGGCGAAGTTGACGTTCTATCCAGACTCATGCTTTCTCTTCCCTTTTTGTGCCAACGGTAGTTATAAACTGACTTTTGCTGCTACTGCTAACAACTCATGATTTTAAGCAGGTGAGGAAAAACAATTACAAATAAATATAGTAAAACACAACAATACCACTGTGTAATCCAGGCAGATAAGATTTTAAAACATGTTTTGATTTGGCTGTTTTTGTTTAATCCTTTTAAATAATTTCCGTGCGACGCCCATGATAAAAACACACGCACTCCTTCGAAGGGCAACAGATTTAGACGCTGTGTGCTACTGTCATCTTGTGGTTGAATATTAAAACTACACTGGAAGAGCATCACATCGTACAGTAGAGGGGGCCACAACTCATCGCTTTCAGTGTCTAGCTCGAGGTGCTGTGTGTGTGTGTGCGCGTGTGCGTGTATGTGTGCGTGTGTCTACCCCTTTACAGCCTGGTACGAATGAAACACAGGCTGCTTTCAGTAGCCCCTGGCAGTTAACACGAGCCAAAGTTATCCCGGAATAAGGACAGCACGCATGTGCCGTCAACCCGGATGCAGATATCTCTGTGTCTGTGTTGTCAAATTCTGCAACATTGTTACAGAGTTAGTGACAAATGTGCATTCTAACACGCGCTGAACAAAGCCGTGCCATTCCGAACCGACGGAAATCGGGTCAATGAGCCGTGACGTAACACCAGATTGACAGCACTACAACAATATGTTATCGAAGAGCTGCACTTTTAATTTGAGGTGAGAGAGCAAAAGTGGTTACTGTGTAGGCACACACGGTGGGAATAACCAACTTTACCAATGATACCGTAATATATCAGTGATTCCCGGCGCTGTTAAAAGTTAAAACAGGAACATCTCCTGTGTTGCAGAATACGTCCCAATATAACTTAGCATTATGGACTTCCGCGCCAGGAGGTACGAAAGAGGCAGCAACTGGACCGATCCAGAGATCGTGGAGCTGCTGCAACTCTGGTCCGACGAGTCCGTGCAGATCGAGCTGGAGAGCTCCCTGCGCAACCAGCGCGTGTTTGACCGCATCGCACACGTCTTGCGCGAAAAGGGCATCTACCGCTCGGGCGACCAATGCAGGGAGAAGATTAAGAAGATGAAGCTGGAGTATAGGCGTATCAAAGACAACCACAAGATGAGGACTTGGAAGTTCTATGACGTGATGGACAGAGTGCTGGCGAGCCGTCCGGCGGTCAGCTACTCCTCTTTGGGGGGAGCCGTGGTAGCTCAGCAGGTGTTCCAGGGCTCATGCGGGTCTGAGGCATATCTGCAGGGAGTTCCAGTTGGCTCGTTTGGCCCTTCATCCTCAGGAGGATTTTTGTTCGGCCAGCCACCTAAAGCTGATGATCCCCTGGACATAAAGTGTGAGGATGCTGAGGGGAACATCCTGAATTCAGGGGTGCCACCTGAGATGTACTATGGCTCAGGGGATGACCAGGAGACAGATGGGCAGTCTCCACTGGACGCAGAGGACACATTGGGTCAACCTGACACCTCACCTAATACAAGAATCTCACCCTCAGGCAAATAAAACCAATATTATCCCCACTGTTAAAAATAAGCATGTTACAGATGTGGACCAATATGTTAGCATCTCTTGTAAAGCTATGTAAAACGCCTTAAAATAAATGTATCTCTTATTGAAGTAGCATGCTCTCACACAAACATTTAAAGCATCTATAGTGTTATGAACAAAGACTTTGGTAAAAGTCATTTAAATTCTAAACTAAATATATGTTTTTCTCAACCTTGGTGGCAGAAAGTGTCAACAAGTGTTTGTGATATCTGGTAACGTCACCGAGTCAAGCATGGTTAGCTTGTTTAAGATCATAATCATTTTTAAAGTTAAGCCCAGACTCTGGCTGTGCCACTCGAAAACCTTCGTTTTCATCTTTTTGAGCTAGTGGGGTTTGGATAACTCACCTGCTGCATACACTATCTCGACCATGCTTGATTGTCAGTATGAATTAATTTTCAATAATGTTGTGTTGGTTTTATAAAAAGAACTATCTTTTATAAAACTTTTATCAGAAATGTCTATCTTATCTTATTGGTTCACATAATATTTTCCGACAGTCTTTTTGATCGGTATCATAATTCTTTTGGCAAACTGGATTTTGTGTTCTTTTCAACAATGATTTTTTTTTACCTCAAAACCTTCCTCTGGATACCTTTGCTCTTTCTTATTGTTGAAACATGAACACTGACCTTAACTGAGGCAAATGACGCCTGCTTTAAATGTTCTGGGTTCATTTGCGACCTCCTTAATGAGTCATTGATGCCACTCCTACAGGGTTCACCACTGCTCTGTGTGTTCTTTTGTTGTGCATATCTTCTGAAATATTGACTAAAGATTAGAAGTTCACAGAAACTTTGACTTAAAACAGTTAAATATTACTCTACTAGTTGAAATAGATTTTTATTGATACCATTTTTGTTCTTCACTGAATAAATGTTCTCAAGTGAAAGGATTTAAACAGACAGAAATCTGTGTGAGATTCTGCCACTGCAATAACATGTTCATTTGTTGTTGTTTTTTTAGTTTTTGTACATATATTTTTTTCACGTATGTGCTACAAAGTAATCTTATATGTTTATATTTTCAGGTTTTAGGGACATGGATGCCTCTGCTACATCTGCCACTCACATTGGTCCTGTGATGCAAGAGACATCTGAGCAGCCCAGCGATGAGGCTCCTCGCGGGTCAACTTCTGTGAAACAAAGGAAGCGTAGGCGGGGTGGCAGGGCGTCATGTGGCAGGTCAGGCGTCAGGGAGAGCCTTGACAAAGCTCTGGTCAGCTTCCTAAGCTGGCAGCAGTCTGCAGAGGAGCGTCTTCTCTCCCTGGAAGAGACCCGGCTGGAGAGAGAGTTCCAGGCTGAGGAACGCAGGGAGCAGAGGGAGGACAGAAGGGCAGAAAAGGAGCGGCAGCACGAGCTCCACCTGTTCACTATGCTGACAGGGGCGCTCTTCGCCACCCGACAGGGGGCCCCAGCCGCCACGCCGTCCGACAGTCCCATCTCACCTCTGGCTCATCTGTCAACTCCTCCGCTGGCCACTGCCGGCCCCGCTGTCTCGTCATCTTTATCTCAGCCCCCTCCAGAAGCTCCCACAGCGCAGCCTGTCGCCACTCAGGAGACCAAAAAGTCCCATCCCATATCTGTCAAGACCTGTCAAGTGTCACAGGGTGTTTTGGCAACAATGAGAGGTGCAGAGGCTCCCGGCCGCAGCGTGTACCTGTCCAGCCGAGGTAACAGCATCCGACAGCATCAAGGCATTCTCCAGGAGGGCTTTATCCAGTATGCAATGGACAAACATCACCAAACAGACAATCCTGATGTAAGTAAGCATTGAGCTACAAAGAAAAAGCAGAACCATAAATAATGCTTATGCTGTTGTTTTCTTTTTTCCAGGGTATTGTCAACTTGGGAACCAGTGAGAACAAACTATGCTATGATCTTCTTCATAAAAGAGTAAAATACACAATATTGTCACTTACATAATGACACAATGCCAGAACTGTAAGGGGAGTTGCAGAGGAGGGAATTTTGTACAAAGGAAATTCACAAAGAGAATCTGGCATGTTTAATGGTAGGAATGAGGGCATATTTCTGAACAGAAGGAGAAAACATGAAATGATGTCACATTTAAGCTAAGATGAACATTGAACAACTTGTTTCATGGATTTTTAGCTTCAAAGCTTTTTTTTGACATAGTCCACTTTGCCTTATTTTTTTTAAAAGACTATTTTCCTTCACATGAGAACCACTGAAGCTTCTCCAAAACAAAAATAAATAAATAATATAGTTTAAGCCAAGTGTCTGCTTAAATAATAAACAAGTTGGGACTTGTTGAATTGTACAAATGATTACATCATCTTAGACTAAATATTTAAGTTCCACCACACATGCCTCATACAGCAATGTGATTATCAGTAACTTTAAATAATTTCCAATTATTCCAACTACTTCTACCGATGTTTCAATGTGTTACAGCTAACCAAGCCTGACATGTTGCACGTTGAGCCATCCCTGTTGCAGTATGCAGACTGGACTGGGCACGCTTTGTAAGACATTTCACAACACTTTTGTTCTCATTTTTAAATTAACATCTTATTAAACTTTTACCTTAATAACACCAGAAAACTTTATTTTACAGTAATCTTTCAATTCTGCCCTCCTTTATTTAGCCTCAGAGAAGAAGTTGCAAAGTTCCTGTCTCACCACTGCTGCTCTCCCAAGCCACTAAGAGCTGATAATGTGAGTAAAGCATCAGGGTTTTTGTTAAAGTTTGATATCAGGCATTTATAACCTGAGTAAGTAGATATGAAGAAGTACCGTATTTTCCGCACTATAAGGCGCACCTTCAATGAATAGCCTATTTTAAAACTTTTTCATATATAAGGCACATAGAACAGACGCTACAGTAGAGGCTGGAGTTACGTTATGCATCCACTAGATGGAGCTGCATTAAATGGAATGTCAACAAAACAGTCCCACTGCGGTCGGC